GGGTGTTCACATACCTCATCTCATTAATTATCTCATTATGATCATCATGGATCAATTCTGGCCGTGACAAAAAGTATAAACAATCCAATACTTATTGCCTATGTCCATCAAATATACATGTAAGAGCATGCAACATGATATATTTTGGTTGTCTGAAGGATGCTTCAACCATGGTCTTTTCTTGAGAATGTTGCAAGCTGATTAAGAATGAGAACATCAACCCACTTTATAAAACTAAATTGAGAGCGTGCATGATAAATTTCTTTCGATATTTAAGTATTCAGAAAATTCAAGTAATGTTGAATCATAAAAGAAATTGTATGGATAAAAAATGAATTGTCTGTGATCATATACTTGAGAGATTATATAATGGGATAGATGATCATGAGAACTAGGAGAGTGTTTGTGAGAATCAAGGTTGAAGATTCAAGATGACAACTTATGTTCTTCAAATATTACTGTATATTTAATTGGATTTCTTATTCGGACATCTGAAATTAGTTTAATGGTTCTTTCATCGATTCAAACCGTTCTCTTTTAATATGGTGCCAATGTATCAATCACAGAGGTATTAATAAGGTACTATCAAGTGTCATTTTTCAATATCAATGTCAATCTTCAATATCAAGAGTGTGGTCTGTGAGTGCAATAATGGCCCATCCTTCAGCAGATTTCTTCTCATGCCCCATGCTTGCACATTAAATTCAATGGCGTTGACGTACGTCCCCGCGCAGCTGCTGCGCACATCATCGATCCATGTCGACGGCGCGTCCATGCACCGACGAAGTCGAGGAGGACGTCAGCCATGGCGTGGCCGTGACCGCCGCCGCATGTTTTGTGGTGCTTACGTGCAGATCATGATCTCGCTCGTGTCACATTAGTCGTAGAGATTATCGTGAAGTTGACCTGAGCACTTTTCTTGAGACTGATCTAAACCTGCGGGTAATTGTCAAACCTGCAACATCATACCATTAAGATCGTGGAATTGATTGAAGGAGAGGTGGTCCGTAACATATCAAAAGATTGAGAACAACCACGCGCGAAGGCAATGAAGGTCAAAGCTTCATAGTAGGCATCGGTATCCTAAACTATTCCGAGTCAAATAATGGCTTCCTCTATTTAATCCCTCCGTCTTTGTTGACATTCCAGCAACACTAGTCATCTATTTAACATCCTAACCATGAATTCTAGATTTCTGCTGAGATGTAGGTATCATTTCTATTGTCGTCCATCTTCCACATTCTCTTCCGTAAATGAGAACAGCATGCAATCCATCCTCCTAAAAGTCCTTTGCTTTACCTACTTTACCATGGAAATTATGTACTCCCAAGCTTCAATCAAAGCATGATACTTGCTGAGATATTTTCGATCAGCAACTGGTTGTGGTATCAAGTGGACAAATGCAAGTCCATATGGTTCCAAAAATTCAAACAAATTAGGTTACCTATCCATGCTTCTACAACTATACACATAGAGAGGACTCATGATCACACGCATCATCTCATCTCTCACGTAGGTCACTGTTGCAGCCCATGTGACAGGCCATGAAAAGGAAGGTCGGATCACTGTGTAAGTTGATGTACAAAGCTGAGATCTGTGCCAAACAGATGGTTAGCTGAAAGGAGACGGTGGCTATATATGACAAGGCTCGATCGATCACCTCATCATGAAGGTTTGGTGTCTGCTTAATTAGGAGTAGCACCGAGCAATAATGTGTTCTCATCAGATGGCTTTGTGCCCTGCAGAAGCTGCTGTTGATTACAATGTTTCACCTATTTGTGGGGTGTATGAGATGTGTGGTCTTCCTAGATGAGACGTGTTTGGTTTCACAGCATACAACCCTAATAATTTCGATCGCGTCGAACTCTAGTTAGACAATAGGGCAAGTCTACCTTGCGTAGGTGATTCATTTGATGCTGTTGATTGATTGAACCTTTTAAGTTTCTCCATGAAATGGATTCGTAGATTCAAGTTGATAATATTTTTAGTATAATCTCATGGGACACTCTACCCTCTTAAAAATGATGAGATTGATCATAAACGTTTTTATCTACTATCGTGTTTCTTGTCAACATGACATCATTTTACATCCTCACCTTGCGCGCTAATCTCAATTAATACTATATGACAAACATCCTGACGACTAGTTGGAGTTGCTCTCAGGCTGAGGTAACAGCGATGCTTGCTTCATCTTTCGTAGGCTCGTGTTGCTCGTTGCAGCCTCTTTAAGAATAAAAAAGGGAGCCGAAACATCACGCATCACCGAAATCCTTGTAGTCAAAATACGTCACCGTTGCAAAAGTAAGCATCCCCACATGTCCACAGCTACTCGTCGATGGCGAACGAAAGCTGTACTTGAAGGTTCAGTGAGATCGTGGAGTTCTAAGTCTACAGCTTGTCAATTCCCAAACATCTCAGGGAAAAGCTGCGCATTATTCTTCCATGGCAGCTGGTTTCTGCTGCGTCTTCCTCCACGTGAGGACGGAGACGAAGATGCTCTTTTCTCCTCGTCTGCAACTTTTTCGCCCTTGAAAAGGAAGGCCGGTGCTGCAATCTCCTCCTTTTTCTTCTTTGTTCCTTTCTGCCTCACGAAGTTTTGGTCTTCCTTTCTTATCTCCACCGCCCAACTTAAAGAATTGTTTACTTCCATCTTCTGCTTCTAACAACGGGTCGGATGCTGATGAGGAAAGAGGATAGAAAGCTAGAAAATTCGATGTTTTCTCCATTCCTGTGATGTAGACCAAAACTCTACTGTTCTAGTGAAGGATTAGTAAGTCAAAAAGGGTGGAGAACAAAGCTCTCAATCAACTACTTTATTGTAGCAATAAATTACACCGAGAGTGAAGAGCTTGTTGTCTTATTTTGCTCCACCGATTTCATTTCAGCTGGCCTTATGATCTGCCTGGGGTGGTATAAATACATACACATATATGAGACAAATAACTATAATTAAATATTTTTATGCGAAATTAACTAATCAAAATAACAGCACCTAAATTAATTATAAAATATTTATTTAATTTCAATTATTCACGTTGGACGTTGGAGAGGAGGGGGCCACGTGCGGCGGATTCCGGTCAACGCGGATCTCCGTCGAAAACGGATAACACGGTGTCGAACCGTTTGTACGCGTTAAACCGGCCGCCGCCGATCCGAACCATTTGGCGACGAACCTTCCACCATCTCAGCACGTGTGAATGGAACACCGCCGCCGCCACGTGCTTGTAAAGCTACTGTATATAATCGTTTTCTTACATTTGGTTGGCCAATAATAACATGTTGTGAGGAACGAGTTAATCGTGGCACGTGGCCCAAAAGTATGGTCGGTAGTATGCTTTGGTTCGTAAGAGATGAATTCGTCTACAATTTAAAGGGATAACACATTTATATCTCAGGAATAATTTCACACTGACTGTAAATTTAGGCATATTCATCATCAACATCATATTTTTATTAAGATGTAAAAGTATAAATTATGTTATTGATAAAAAAAATTAAGATGAGATATAACTAATATTTTAGTTAAATTATTTTTATTTATTTCCTCATATTCATATAAATCATGTTTTATTTATTAGTTTAATCTTTTATATGTGATATAACTAATATTTTAGTTTTCTAATTACTTGTCAAATGATTCGACGCTCAACTAAATGATGGTTGCTAGATTATGATGGTATATTTTCTCTTTCAAATTCTTTCTTGTATATACACATATAATAATTTGACTAATCCTTTGCGGACTACTGTTATTTACATCTTAAATAATTTTAATTAAATCTATGACATTTACGAACCAAACAAAAAGTATTCTCTAAAGTGGCTTAGGATTGGACACTTACAATATGCAATGATGTTAATAAAAGTTTTAAGATATGTTGATCAGACTGAATATTTTTTTCATAATTATGATCATATTAAGATTTGAATTTAATTAAAAATGTCTCTAAACTCAAAATCAAATCTCACTACTAAGTACAATTCCAATCTCAAGCAAGTCAACTAGTGATGTCCCTAAAAATATATATCCATTATTATTTAACAAGGGAAAGATACCTATCAACTTCTCTCTACTAATATTCCGTCAACTACTCAAATACTAAAATGTAAACCCGGATTTGATTTTATTATATTTTTTTAACAAATCAGATACTAAGCTTGATTTAAACATATCAAATAAATTTAATATCCGCTATCATATCTAATCTTTCATAGCACCTCACGATCATTCGATATAAAAGATTGCCATCTTCTCCTTCGACAAGCATCGATGATTATATTAAAGTTGTTAGCATACACTTCATTGGATATTTTTCTACCGCTAATTAATTTATTATTTTCTATTTAATAGATAAGGTAGCTCATAAAATCATGGAATCTCTCTATCGCCATCACTAGATTTTGCTTCGAATTCTTCCATTATACAAGGCAAGACCGCCAGCGAAGAACACGGCCACACCACATGTACTGTTCCCCAATCATTGGGATATTATTATTTTTCTTAGTATTATTCTAGATCTTGCACGTCGCAATAATGTGAGTCACTATGTTTCAGGCAAGACATAGACGAAGCCTCATTAACCATGTTCCACTCTAGTAATTAGTAGATAAAGGGAGGGTTTTTTAAGATTTTGAAATAATAAATTTATTTTTCTGTGAAAAAAAATGATTTTTTGACTAATTTTTTTATTATAAAGCTGGTTTTGGGGTTGTACTGATGGAATGGACGGTGGAAAATGCAATGCTGATATTGTTTTCCTCCTTTTGTTTTTATGGTAGGGGGGCGAAATTGGTATTTCGAGGGGCATGAGCAGTTGCCCCCAACGATTTCAACGGACGACGATGCCGCGAAGCTGCCATTTCCCCGTCTTTATTGTGAGCGCAGAATAATGTGGGCGACGCGCTAGCGTGCAAACTATGTTGAATTCCCTGTTGTACCCTTTCCTCCCCTTATAAATGTTCTCTTCTCACCTCCCCTGTCCTTCCTCAGGCGTCTCTGACAGAAACGGAGAGGAGGTAAAGAGATAAAAAGGAGTGCCGAATCCTGCACTGCTCCCGTCGATAAGGTAGACATTAAATGGCGACTTCCATGGAGATCTTGGCCTCTTCGTTGCTCCAAAGGACTCCTCTCCTTCCTTCTTCGAGGTCGCCGCTGCTTCGAGGAGGCGAACAGAGCAGGCTATTCCTCTCCCCGGCTTGCTTCCCTCTGAAGAAGAGGAGTAGCGCGGCCGGGAGAGTAGTGCGAGCTCCGGTGTCTGCAGCGATACTTACGGAGAGGTTCGTGAGGGTTGAGACGGAAGAGAGGCCCGTGAGGTTTAAGGTACGTGCGGCGGTAACGGTGAGGAGGAAGAAGAAGGAGGATCTTATGGCCACGGTCGCCAACCAGCTCGATGCTTTCTCCGATAGGATCGGAAGGAATGTGGTGTTGGAGCTCGTCAGCGCCGAGATCGATTTGAGTAGGCTACTCCATCTTTCTCTTGTTTCCGGCGGTTTGAATGAATTGTTTCGTTCGTTTTGGAATCTAATTCGATCTGATGTCCAAAGGAACGAGGAAGCCCAAGGCCAGTAACAGCGCGGCGCTGAGGGGATGGTTCGAGAAGAAGAAGGCCAAGGCGGAGCGGGTGGTTTACACGGCGGAGTTCACGGTGGACTCTAGCTTCGGCGAGCCCGGAGCGATCACGGTGCTCAACCGGCATCAGAGGGAGTTCTTCTTGGAGAGCATCGTCGTCGAGGGCTTCGCCTGCGGCCCCGTCCACTTCCCCTGCAATTCTTGGGTCCAGCCCACCAGAATCCACCCCCACAAGAGGGTCTTCTTCAGCAACAAGGTCCACCCGTGCATCCATGATTGCAAGGCTTTGTCGAACACAGTACTTCCAACCATCAACACGTGCTTACTGACAGCATCTTTTGGCTGTTTCCTTTATGTTAGCCTTATCTGCCATCACAGACGCCGCCAGGGCTGCGGGAGCTGAGGCAGCAGGAGCTGAAGGAGCTGAGGGGGGATGGCAAGGGCGAGAGGAAGCTCACCGACAGAATCTACGATTACGACACGTACAACGACTTGGGCAACCCCGACAGAGGGATCGATTTTGTCAGGCCAACCCTTGGAGGCGAGCAGATGCCTTACCCGAGGAGATTGAGGACAGGGAGACCCCCAACGATCACAGGTAAACTCCGTAGTACTCCATTAATTAAGAAAAGCTCAAAGTTGGAAACAGTACCAATCTGCGCAGACACCATTAATTCTGATTACAACTTGAACTGGATTTGAACCTGTCATTGGTCCTGAAACTTCGTCACCACCAACCTCAGTGTTTGGCCGTGCGATTCCTTCAATAATCTAAACAGTGCGTGAAGAGAACATCACTTATTTCGTATGTGTTCGACGTTATCGTTTGCAGATAGGCACGTCGAGAGCAGGGTGGAGGATCCGCTGCCCATGTACGTGCCCCGTGATGAGCGGTTCGAGGAGGGCAAGCAGGCGATGCTAACAGCTGGGGCTCAAAAGGCAGTGCTCCACAACCTCGTGCCTCTGCTTGTCGCTTCCTTCTCCCCGGAGAGCCATGACTTCAAGGCCTTCCATGAGGTGGACAACCTCTTCAAGGAAGGCCTTCGCTTGAAACAGACCTTGCAGGATCAGCTCTTCCACAAGATCCCACTCGTTTCCAAGATTGAAGAGTCCACCGAGGGCCACCTCCGATACGATACGCCCCACATCATCACAAGTAAGCACGCTCAACGCCTTCAGCGCCATGATGAATACTGTTTCTTCTCTAGTTCTATCTGTTGATCCTTGGTTCTCTCTTTGGCACGCATCCAACAGAGGACAAGTTCGCATGGCTGCGCGACGACGAGTTCGCCCGTCAAGTTGTAGCAGGCATCAACCCTGTCAACATAGAAAGGCTTCAGGTAATCCCATGCATCCCTTGGCAAAGGTTTCATCCATTTATATGCTGCAAACCTGTGGAGAAAAGACCCTCAGTGAACAATGATTCTTGTAGGTGTTTCCTCCTGTGAGTAAGCTAGACCCCGCTATCTATGGTCCACCTGAATCCGCCATCAAAGAAGAACACATCATCAGCCATCTTAATGGCATGTCTCTGCAACAGGTATCTCCTACTTGTTCAAATGTTGCTGAATCAAAAATGTCATCCTTTGGGTACTGAAACATCTGCAATAGGCAGTGGAGGCGAACAAGCTATTCATGTTAGACTTCCATGATGTGTACCTCCCTTTCCTTGATCGGATCAATGCGCAAGATGGGCGAAAAGCCTACGGCACCCGCACTATCTTCTTGCTCACGGAGTCGGGAACTCTTAAGCCGATCGCCATCGAGCTGAGTCTGCCGCCCGTGAGACCCGGCGACGCTCGGGCGAAGCGTGTCCTTACCCCGCCAACCGATGCTACAAGCAATTGGCTGTGGCAGCTCGCCAAGGCACACGTCTGCTCCAACGACGCCGGCGTTCACCAGCTCGTCAATCATTGGTAAGTCTGCGGTCGCTGATCATTGCCTTTGATGGATACGCAATGGACAGAGAATGACATGCGGCCATGTGGCTTTTCTTGTAGGTTGAAGACACACGCGTGCATAGAGCCATTCATATTGGCAGCTCATCGACAACTGAGTGCGATGCATCCCATCTTCAAGCTACTGAAGCCCCACATGAGATACACATTGGAGGTGAATGCCCTGGCTCGCCAAATCCTCATCAATGGCGGCGGAGTGATCGAGTCCGGCTTCACTCCTGGTCCTGTTTGCATGGAGATCAGTGCGGCCGCGTACCGCAACCATTGGCGCTTCGATCAGGAAGGACTCCCTGCTGATCTCATCAGAAGGCAAGCGTAGCGTTTCATCGTTACTTCAGCAACAATGAACTCGTTAACTCGCTAATAACTACAGAGAAGAAACATTAGCTAAAGATTTCTTGTCTCTCTCGTCGTGTTGATGGCAGAGGCATGGCGGTGGAGGATCCGACGCAACCGCATGGCCTGAGGCTCGTCATCGAAGACTACCCGTACGCGACCGATGGCCTCCTCCTCTGGTCGGCGATCCAGTCGTGGGTCGAGACCTACGTCGCCGCCTACTACCCGGACGACGAGTCTATCCAGTCCGACTACGAGCTCCAGAGCTGGTACGCTGAGGCCGTCAATGTCGGCCACGCTGACAAGCGCTACGCACCGTGGTGGCCGCGCCTGTCGAGTCCTGCCGCGTTAAGCTCCTTCCTCACCACCCTCATCTGGCTCAGCTCGGCCCAGCACGCGGCCCTCAACTTCGGCCAGTACCCGCTCGGGGGCTACATCCCGAACCGGCCGCCGGTACTACGCCGGCTCATCCCGGTGGAGGGCGACCCGGAGTACGAGCACTTCCGGTCTGACCCGGCCAAGTTCTTCTTGTCCGCGCTGCCAAACCTGACTCAGGCGACGACGTTCATGACGGTGATCGACACGCTGTCGACGCACTCGGTGGACGAGGAGTACCTGGGGGAGCGACCGGACCCTTACACGTGGACCGGGGACGGCGAGATGGTGGAGGCGTTCCACGAATTCGCGTCGGAGGTCAGGCGGGCCGAGTCGGAGATCGCGAGGCGGAACGCCGACCCGGCGAGGCGGAATCGGTGCGGCGCCGGGGTCTTGCCGTACGAGTTGATGGCTCCGAGTTCTGGACCCGGGATCACGTGCCGAGGGGTTCCCAATAGTGTCACCATTTGATCCACGGGCTGGTGGTACACATTTCACCAAAAGGTAAATATGAGAGGGTTCTCTCCAAAGAGATGAGGCATTGGAACACTCTGTACTCAATGTAAATAGTTGACATAGATATAGTGGATGTAAAAGGTATGGACCAGTGGATAGCCATATTTGCCCTCCATTTATGGTAGGAAACATGTTGCAAAATATTGATTATATGAATTTTGAAATAATTAAAAATTGGGTGAATGAAGCCTCATAGTCAAATGATGGGTCAATCAATCACGTCATATATTTAATTAAAAAATATTTTAATTTTTTTCTTGGCCGAATTAAAAAAATCCTTAGAAAAATTCTTTTAGAGGGCTCTCATTTTTTTTTATTTTCGTAAAGTATTTTTTTTATATAAATGATAATTTTACTATTGTGCTTTACACCTTATTGCTTGCTCCAGGTCACCTCCATTTGTGCCTCCATTACTAGTTATTTTTGTTATTTATGGTTGTTGTGTAGGTCACCTTTGCTTATGCCTTCGTTGTTTGCCTGCACATGGGTCATTAGCTACCTTCATGGATGGGTTGCTAGTCACCTATGTCTTCATTGCTAGTCGCAGTCGCCTATGCTGTAGGCGAGAATGATATGGGTGAGGCACATAGGATAAATCTGCTGGTCACCTCCCCGAAGGTAAAGGTGAATTTAGCAAGGTCCAACAAGGATCCACGAAGACAATGACAGATCTGAAAGTTATCAATAGGGATCTATAAGTGTGAGTCCAACGACTGCCAACAAGGATCATGGAGGTAAGGGCAAGTCGAACAATACAGATGTGAGGGAAGGTAGGATAGCGGTGCTAACCACTTATGCCACAAGTGAGGACAACAAGGGTGAGAAACACAAGGGTAGCTTCGATGAGAGCCAACGACGTAAAACAAGGACCAGTAGAGTCGACAAAGGTAAGAATAATGTAAGGATGAGAGGTCTATGGTATAGAACGAGGCAAACTGATGATAGACCGACAAAATTATATTTTTCACTTAAAAGGGCTTTGCACGAGAATTTATCAAAACATAAAATTTTTTTCCAAGAATTTATCCCTTTATCTTTATATATTTTATATTTTTAAATTAGATAATTTTTTAATACTAGACTTTGATTAATATTGGATTAGAATGGAAACTGAAATGGTCAAAAACTTGAAATTAAACTAGATTAACAGTTTCGTTATTCTGGATCAGAAATAGAATCGATTGTAATGGTTGGAATCTGATTCTTGAAATTTGAAATTGGAATTAGTAGCTCCAATTCAGTTCTGAACTTATTATAAATGAAACTAAATACCCTAAATGCCCTTACAAATGATGAATCTACTCTTTTCATTAATTAAATAAATAGCTAATTGGAGAGGCATTATAAAAATTAAAAATTATAAAAAAAATAATAAAAAAAATATGAGTTAGGATTGGAACCGTTTGTTCCCATTATCAATTTGACAAAACAAAAACTTACAGTTCCAAAACCAATGTTAGGGTTATATATTAGGTCCTATGATGCTCACACGAGTAATTTATTAAATTAAATGATATATATAATGTTCACAAATGAGTTATTCATTAGATTAAGTGACGTATATGATGCTCAATGATACAATAATATACTAATCAATATCATATATTTAGATAAATTATAAATCATCCTTTATAATTAGTCTCTTTTAATATTTCGATCTTTATACTTTCAAAAATTACATTGAGATTTCTATACTTATGAAAGTAAAATATTAAGATCCCAGAGTTTAAAAGATAATTTTATATAGTTAAAAATAAAAAAATCTCAATATAATTTTTGAAAGTATAGTAACGAAAATACTAAGAATAACTAATTATATGAGGTAATATATAATTAGCTCATTATATTTTATTATGGATTAAAATTTTAAACTATTTAATTGATATGTTAACTCTAATAAAAGATCCTAAATATTAGTCATTTAACTCTTAAATGTGACACCATTATTATAGTGACACATTATTTGAATCAAATCAACTATAAATCCAACCAAAAATTAGATCACTCTCCTTTGTTTGACTGCTACTTCCACTCATCACTCCCTCAGGAGCGTAGGAATACAGCATGAAAGGGAAGTGGAATAGGCAGAGAGTTGGGGCTTCTGTCAAGATTTGTTTCTATATTATTCTTAATTTATGCCATTAGAAAGAATGAAAGACCCCAAACTATAGATGAAAGAGTAATTGAGTGAAGAGTGTTGAGTTTATTACGTGCTAATTAATTGACTTAGCTGGTCTTCACGAATCAATATAAATTAGCTCCGATCATTGAGTTAGATGTCTTGTGAGAGCTTCATTTGTTGATTTTAGGACCTACATCTCAAAAGGAAGAAGAAATATTTAGATGAGTTAGATGAGGTATGATTTATTATTTTTAGTTTCTTATTGTTATGTTCAACTCATTGTAATGTATTTTTTATAAGGAGCCTAATGCTTAGACTATAAATTATCATATTATCGATTATATCAATTTGGATACGTCGTTAAACATCTCATCATAAGAATAGAATATGTAATTACACTAATAATAATATTCACTAGTTCAAGTGGCTATTTATGTTTGAGTAACGTTTGATGAGTTCATATAACCATATTACTTTTTAAATCAAATGATCTAAAAAAATAAAATAAAAATCTCAGATGCACAAATTGATGATTCTTACTCTTTCTAATTAGTATTATATTTATTTTTTTCTAAGTCTTTCTAAACTACTTACTAATTTTAACACTGATATAATTTTGTAGAAAAAATAATTACTTTCCGAGACGCGTTAGGTCTTGATATTAGTTGATTTTGAATTTTTGATGCACTAAATAATCAAAATTCATCATAACATTAGTTGAACATGTATTATATAGTCACTAATTATAATGATTTTTTTTAAAATTTATCATCACTTTTGATTAAATAAATTAATATATATTTAATTTAATTATTATTTATTATATTAAATCATATTTTGAAAAGGATAATAAATCAATATAATTAATAAGAAGCCATTTGAAAAGGATATTAAGACTCTCCCATCAGATTCAATATCCACAAAATTCATTATAATAATAGTGAAGTGGGTAAACACACATCAGTTGATTACTTTGGCTACGATTAAACAATTCTTGAGAGCGAGGATGTGAAGAAAAGAGATGAAATATTAGTCGAGGAATACTATTTGATTCATTTATGTCATTCAAGTACGAGTAAGATAATTAATGACTTCGAATAGATGATAGAAAAGAAGGGATCCATTAATTAACACAACTTTCCTAACAATACAAATTAATTTCATGAGACGAGCATTGTGGCGCAAACCCTCTCGTACTACAGTCTATGCGGCAGCGTCCACGGAGAAGGATCTTATATGCGGACGCGAGGGCTTGATGGGCCTTCTTATAGACCCGAATAAAGATTGGACGCGTGGCATGGCCCCGCTCCATTGGGTGCGTGGCCTCGTGAGCCGTAGGCCGTCTCTTTGCTTAAACGATTCCATAGTATAATGACAAATCAGCTCTTACCACGACCACACTTAAGGCGATAGAGAATGATAAGATGAGGAGAGGCTGCGGATCAGCAGGAAGTAACCCGAAACGAGCGTCTCAGGAGACGCGTCCGTCTCCGACAACACAGTGTTGGTTGGTTTCCTTTTACAGGATCCCATAACCGTCACTTTTCCCGCCTTATTTAACCCCCGAGCCCTACTCCCATTCATTCTCCACACACTGACGTCGATCACCTTGTCCACCCCTTCACGCTCCGGCCCGGCCACCACAGCACACCGTTGTGTCGGAACGCCGGGTTGTGGTATGGACAAGCCTGATCGATCCGACGCCGAGGACGACATCCTCCGTTATCTCAACTTCTCCGACCCGGAACCTCTCCCGCTGCCGCCGCCGCCGCCGCCACTCCCCAATGACCACCACCCTGCGCGGCTGGACCAAACTCCGGAACCAGCGTACGATGATTCACCCGTGTGGGGTCTCAACTACGAGTCCATTCTCCAGGGTGTGCAGGATTTCGACTCCGGAGAGGGTAGTTCCAGGAACACCGAGGTCGTCGATCCCGTCTTCGTCCAGTTCCAGCCGGGCCAGTTGGACTGCACCAACTGCTGCGTATTAAGAGAACTGGTTCATTCCAACGGTACGCATGTCGGAACCCTACGTTTCATCTTCTTGGAAAGGAGAGCGGAAGGTGCAGTTACGTTCTAGTAATCCCCCGTGTGTGATGCTTGTAGGGTTTCAGAATGTGAAGGTTGTGGTCCATGGAGGTCCAGGCTTCTTCACCCATGCGATATTTGAGATAGAACATCAGGGTGAGATGGGTCAGCATGGCACTGTGGATTACTACTACATCAAGTAAGACTTGGTTTCGTTGTCCTCGTGCAAACCCACTTCATGGCCTCGACGGTGATATGGTGGTTTCATTTCTTGCAGTCTTAGCACGCAGACGGGCGCGTGGGTTGAAGGGTTTCTGAAGATGTACATTATGTTGTTGGATGCTGATGGCTCCGTCATCATGCAGGACACAGCGACACCATATTACAACGCCCTCTGTGGTGGCGTCAAGACGGAATTGCCAGATTACAGTATCATGGAATCATGGTTGCAGCCATCGGAGCAAGCTCCAGGTGAGGCTCTTATGCATGCATGCACACGTACGTGCTTTCGCTTCAGTGTGAACTTTTCCCTTATGTTAGCAGGTACTGTTCCTACGGAAAACGCATCTCTTTCTATTGAAGCACAAGCCCCCATGGTTGCTTCGGCCAGGGCAAAGATCAAGACTGGACTCGCTGCGCAGGTAATAGTAATCCGTCGATCTAAACATGCTTTGGTGGGGAATAGGAGCGCTTCTCTTACTCGTATGTTGACTCGGGTGGGTGTGGTGAGACAGAGAGAACGTGCACACAACATGAGCCTGAAGGAATTGGCAGATTACTTCCACCTCCCCATAGCAGACGCTGCAAAGAGGCTCAAGCTCTGTTCCACTGCAATCAAGCACGCCTGCCGTCGAAATGGAGTGGCCCGCTGGCCTAGCCGAAAGGTTAATTCTCACTCGATCGTCGCTCCATTCCCATCTATCAATTCGCTCACTGTCTTATATTCTTCTTATCTTATTGACAGATCAAAAGCATCGACAGGCAGATAGCGATTTTGGAGAAGCAGCTGTTGGGCAGCAGTCATGAAGCGATAATGGAGAAAATTAATGAGATCGAGAAGCTAAAAGCCAAAAAGGAGAGATTGTATGCCGGCCTGGAGTCATAGATAATAGCTATTTATTTCGTTTTGTCAGTTTTGCATTGAGCATTTTCGCTAGCTAAGCAATGAGTTCATGATCCATGCTATATTGTAAATTGTTTCGTCAGCAAAATATTTTATGATTCTTTTTGGTTCCCCATTCATATCTACAATGTCATAAGATCATCATCTATCCATCTTCCACATGTTCAATTTTGGATCTCCTTCTTGGAGAACTCAATTCCATCCACCCGACCATTTACATATGAGCAATAAATTTAATGATTTCCTGATATTTATATACTTATAAAGCAAACAATAAATTCATGATCCCTGTTAAGAAGAACTCATCAACTCTTTTCACGTTGGTTGCTCATAATCAACAAGAGTCTGTACATTGTCATAAAACCATTTAAGCTGTCCTCAAATATTGGAGTCAAAAGAATACAAAAGTAATCTGATTCCCCCATTGAGTTGTCCCACAAGTTGGGTAAACCAATTCAATCCAACATCAATGGCGTCACAAGGTTCCAACAAGCTTTTGAACGTCAATTTTGATTTGCTGTCAAATTGTGTTCCTGCTATTCTCAAATTTATCTCCAGGTTTAGCTCCAACCAAAATATGAATTTATAGGTGTATTTCACTTTACGGGAATTATCGTCTGAATTTATAGGCGTAGGTTGATCTTCTCTGACCATTTAAATATATCAGAATACACTTGATCACCACCACCCAAGTCTTCTCCAGTGGCTCCTGCTGCTACTCTGATAACATCCTCTATCAAAGCAAAGTTGCCCATTATATCAACATGGGCACCACTCTGTGTGCCCCGGCCTTCCAAGAGATTTGCTGGAGGAGCATGATTGTACTCCCTCACGTATGTCTTTATACCAGAGGGATTGAACCGGGTTTTTCCACGCCATCCTTTTGCACACATGTAACCTGCACTTAACACTGGCACGGTCTCGTCACCATCAGCCAAGTAAACACCACCCTGCAAGCAGTTTTGTTGATGTCCACCATTGGCTGAGGTATCAATCTGAAACGGAATGTAGCACTCAGCAGAAGGGGATAACTTGTAAACATATGCTCTTTCTGTAAGAATTCCCACTCCATAAAGAGAATATATCTCCATATCGGGAGCATTTGGTAACCTGAAAAGGATAAGATTAAACATGGTGATTTGTACAAGCATAAAGACATCAGGAGCATAATCTTGCTATCAGTACAATCATAAAGTTCCTCTATGATATATATACAGGGTGTATATAAATGGTACTTTGGTGAGAAATATTAGTTGTATTCTCGTTGTTATGGACAATTTAATTTTGTCCTAAAATATCGAATTCCCAGAAGAATGGACAAACAAGAGGTATCAAAGGAGACTACTTGGGGAACTAGTGGAGCAGCAGCATTCAGCCAGAATACATAATGTAAACCGTCCATTTCCAATTCTTTAAAAATTAAAATAAAAAATAAAGAACTAAACCCACTGTATAGACTGTGTCAATGGAATAGACTTTTAGAGTAACTTTGGATAATTTCTGGGAGATCTTTGTTTCATTAAATTGCTATATTACTAAAAGTAATTTTTATGAGGAATAGGCCAAACAGCAAGCAAAATGTAAGTATATTGGGTTATTTTAAGATGGAGCCTTACTTTGTCTCCAAGGGATTTGACCAATATTTATGGTGCATATACTTTGGGTCATCTAGATTATCAGCAATTCCATACGAAAAATGTTGACTTCCTCGCTGCATCATCTTTGGAGCAACAAAATGGAGAAGATCCAAGAGGGAACTAGCTGTATATGCTTTATAGTCAGCAACCGCTTTGATTCCTGCCCACCCCAATTCATGGTACTCCGTCCAAATTTCCCGACATGAAGCATTTGAATGGGCAACATTGTTTCCCTTAACTGCACCCTGTATTTACAGAAGAATACATCATTGTAAAAGCATGTAGAATGAGTTTTAACAAAATATGACTTTATTAATCCAACTAGCTTGATCACAAGCAATGACAGAACTTGCGAATTTATGCAAGCCATGAAACAGTTCATCAGATTTAAAGAGATGGATATCTAAAATATGACATGCAAAGACAAATTCTTGACAACTAAGAAGATCATGATGCAGTAATTCCTGAATCAAGTGAAACTAACAATAAATGAAAAGTAAACAGACAAGAACCACCATCGTATCAACCAAATGGCCAGGAAATAGAGCAAAAATTCATAAACATTGACGACTTCGCTCCTGCACAATGTTTGGGTGACAGTGTCCTCTATCCATGCTCTTAGGGCCACTGCAGCACTGTATCACGTTATAAGCTTTGTTTCTTATAATAAAATCCCAACATTTATTATAGTTTGTGTGGAACTCCCCTTTGAGAAATTATGCACGTATGGAGTGGCCCAAGACCTTCATTCTTGCAATTGTTTGAGAAGATTATTTTTTTTTGTGCATGTGTGAAAATCATTCTTGCAATCATTTGAGAAGATTGACTTCTTTTGTGCATGACTCTGATAATCATTCTTGCAAACGTTTGAGACAATTGACTTCTTTTGTGCATGAGTGTGATAAATAAGTGTTGCACAAACAAAAACATTAACCTCATGATAGTTGGGAGAGGTAATTTTTCTCCTCCCTCTCCCTCCCAAAACCAAAATTCAACTGGTAAATCAAAGAATCACCATATCACATCACTTGCAGCTATCCAAACAACCGTGTTATATCGCACTTGCAATTAGCAACTATATATGCAGGCACATAGATAGTTGTAATTGAATTACTATTTGCAAGCATTTGCATTTGCAACAGTCAGAATCATAGTGATACCTACAAGTATTATCAAATATTGAATTGACAAAACAACAGGAGATAAATTGAACATTGGTGTTGTGGGTGACCAACAAGCAGCGGAGGCACTTGCCATTATTCAATTATAAGATATTTCAGGTGGTGACTTGCTTATGCTAAACCTGACTAATTTAACATTAGATGAACAATGTTTCTTCAATTATTTTGGATTAACATGAAGCTCTCAGTGTATGCAATGTTTCATGATAATTTGCAATGAGCAAGATAAACAGCTGCCAGAAAAAAATATAAATTAACAGGTTGAATGTAGCCATATGTTAAATCTGAAACAGTAATGAAATTCCTACATGCTAATGCATATGCCTTCTTGGGAAACAGGACCAACCAGTTACAGTGTATAATTACCCGAAAATCAATTTGTTGTATCTTGGCTGAATGTGTCTCTGCAACATGTTTCCCAAAAGAAACAATTCTGCCATAGTTGACACTTTGTGATTGAGATTTAACCGTCTCCCCATCAACATCTTTGGAAGCCCCATTAACATCTTTGGAAGCATGAGAATCATTATTCTTATGCTTGGAAGCCCCATCAACATCTTTGGAAGCATGAGAATCATTGTTCTTATGCTTCTTGGGGCTACACTCATAGCCGCCTTCTGGCGACCAATCAAAACCACCCCAAATGGTATCACCACCTTTTGGAATCATGGACATAGTTGAATCCCATGTGCGAGTCATACGCATAACATGACGTAAAGTCTGAAGCCCCAAAAAATCAGAATCCAACACACCAGGTGCGATGGCCCTAACATAAAGGAATCATAAGGTTATTGTATTCGTTAGTTGGAAAAAGGACATAAAATTAAAAGGAAGGACAAGCCTTAGTTCAACAAACAAATCGTCTATTAAAAGCCAAAATGTTACATTCTTTTTGTTTCTTTTTCTCATTAAGCTTCCTTCAGCACATTAATGATTTTATGATTTCACATGCATCTAGATCTGACAGCTTTAGTTCGTCTCTGATCAGCTACAGCTAGTCGTGCTATGTAGGACTTTTCGTACAAGTTACAAGTAATTGTTTTTCAAGTAATGACAAACCCATGAGAACAGGCCCCTAAGAAGGAATGTTTTATTCTGATATCTCCTTCCAATGCTTCGGCACAAATGAAGTCATCGAGGAGAGCTGCCAGAAACATAGCTGCAGCATAATTATAAGCCAATTATTCCGATAAATGATATCTCAAACAAATAGTCAAAGTTAATAATTTCCATAAGCATTCACCCTGTGTTCTATACAATGGCATATCCACAACTTTCTCATACTTGTATTGCGCTCTCCTCTTACATCTTTCTTCCTATCACTATTATTCGTGCTTTCTATAACCACTGGAGTAGAAGATGAGGCAAAGATTGTCCTCATGAGGTTGGCTGGACCACATCTGGAATTTGGAAGATGAATGCTACGAGTAATGGTCATAGAGCTTTAGAAGCCATCATTGCATTGTTGGTACAAATATTACCTAGCAGCAATAAAATGGCAGAACAGAGTAAACAGACACAAGAATGGCCAGGTCAGCCAGTACAAGAGGATATGTTTCTACACTTAAGAAAAACAACCTAAAGATTTTGCATACCGAATTTTTACAATAATTTGAAGTGTAATGAAACAAGCATATTTCTTTTTAATATTTAATATGAGTCATAAATCATTGTAATTATTATGTTTAGATAGAGAATTTTCTAACAGTTCTAGTGTTTTGGATCCGTCAATCTTACATTTTTCATCAATTGATCGATTTGGGATCGAATCTACCTCCTCTTACTCTGCACACCACATCTTAATTGGTATTCTTGACTCTGACAAAAATGAGTATTGCACTAACAAATTTAAAGATCAAATGTAACAGAAAAAATTGCTTTCCAAGAGGTTATAACCAACTATACTTTATGTCAGAAGCAATACTACCAGAAGTATAACGATTCAGAGAAACTATATAGAACAGCAGCATTAATAGTAGGCACATAACAGGAACTAGGCTACTACAACTAGTATGCATCAGTGGTTATGTACAAAATACTCAGTTATCTGAACAACATTTATATCTTCTGAAACAATATATATTATTCCCTAGTCAGCCACAAGTAAAAAATCCATAACCGATGGAAATTATTTTGAATAACTAATATCCAGGTAGTTAAAATGACAACTACCTTGCAACAGCAACATCTTTTGCTTCAGCTGAAAATAGTCCTGCAACTGCTTTTGGAACACCTAAAAATGGCCCTCCAATATTCATAACTGCTTTTATATGGTCTGCACACCAGTTTGGACCACCACCACCCCCCATCGGAGCAGGTGCCTCAACCCACTTCATAAAATGCAAAAAGTACAAGACTCCCATGGAATGTGGAATAACTACCACCTTCCTTCCACCATTCGTAGAGACCATGAGTTCTATGTTACTTTTTATTCTGCTCAACATTTTATCACGTACCTGCACAACCAATTTTGAGATGGAAAACGGTAAAGAGATTGTAATTGGTTGGACAAGAGACTGTGGTAGATAGGATATAAGAAACAAAATTATCCGCAGGAGGAAAAAAAAAGTCCATAAGAGATCAACAAAGCAGACACTAACAAAATAATGAATATAATGGTTTAAGGAAATGTAAGAACCTCTGTGTTCTGAAATGACATTCTCCAATCATATGCAGCCATGTACATTGTCTTCTCTTCATAACCAATGCGAGCCAAATTAGCAATCAAAACTGCCCATACAAAGTATCCAGGAGCAAAATAATCTGCGGCAACAAGCCCAGTAACCGGCCTAACTCTTATTCCTGGAGGGTCCAATCCAGTTTCATTATCCAGCGACATATGTTCCACCCAACATAAGGGTCTGAGACCGTGGAACCACCGAATAAGAAATAAAAAATCACCATTTATTATCAGAAAATATAGTTAAAAGGATAAAGAACCTCATTAGAGATTATCAATAATTTTATTGAGGCAACCTGCAAGTTGTATCTTAGCTGAGCAAGAAGCAACAAGAAAAGGAGAAAAAAGAAAAGAAACAGTAAAGTTGATTATACTTGCATATCAAAAAACAAAGATGAATATAACAGGAATACTACTGAAGATAGGAAAACTTTACTGCTTGTCTTGAGAGGAACAGCAGCGATCAATAAAATGAATGTCAAAAATAGTTGTAGTTTACAGATTGCATCAACTTTAGGCTCTTCTTCAGTAAGAATTGCCATGAGAGCTCTTCTTCAGTAAGAATTGCCAGTAAACTTGACTCTACAGATAGCCATGAGAGCGCATTAATATGCTCATTATTAATATCTAACAACTAGGAATAGATAAAACCGGAACTGAAGCAATTTTTAAGGAGCATGTTAACAGTTGGAGAAAGCTCAGAAGCCAGCCAATGGCTTTAAGATTGTGCAAAAACAGGAGGAGATCAAACAAAATGCTAGGAAATACAACAAAGATGTTGAGGAAATCAATCTTATACAAGATTATTTTAGGAAATTTGATTATTACGAGCGAACACTGTTCCCAAGAAGAATATTCAAAATTTTAAAAAGTAAACTAGAATGACACACGTTAGGTTCTCAAAGATAAAACTATAATTGAAGGGCACACTTATAAATACCAGGTAGTAGTACCAATAATTAAAAATTCCAGTAGCAAAACATAAGATACAAGTACAGAAGAAATCCTATTTAGAAACGTAATAGTATCAAGTAAATATTTCTTAGTTGTACATATATTCAAACAAGGAAACAGAAGACAATGCTGAGTCCTAGAAAAACTCTATGGAAGAGAAGTAAGGCCTTTCCCAAACTCATAAAAAGAAGTCCTTTACTGTCCAAATTGGAGCATCACATCAAAATCCAACTTGATCTGAACAAGAAGTTCAACTAAAGCAGAGCATCCAACAAATCAAGCATAGATTGAAATATTATTGATTTAACATTTTAATTTGCTCAACTTTGTCAAATACTACAAAATCATAACAAATCCAATTCGAAAGATTTAAATAGAGGTCCTTTAGAATATCAGAAAAAGAAAAGAAGTGACTGTGTTTATGGAGTCTATACAATGTCTTGCTACAATATTTCTTGTAGTTTCGAATCAAGACAGGAGACAGAAAAATTATGGACTAATGAATTGTCTGTAGCCAACAAAGTTTACATTTATGCGGAATATCTTATTTTTACTAATGCAATCTACTAAAAAATCTCAAATTCTGAAAGACAAGCAACTACGAAAGCACGTACGGCAATTTCCAGTTCTGTAAAAAATTACTCCTTCCTAGCTTCTCGAAGCAATCTTGAATCTTGAAAATCCAAATTTTGGATGGAATCCAAATAGGAAGAAAACCCTAAGGCAGATAAATAGAAGTAGATAAAGGGGGTTGTCTTTGCTACCTCTTGTATACCTCTCCGAAGGTTCCACCCCAGAGGCGCTTGCGGAAGAGTCCGTCGGCGCACTGGTGCCCCTCCCAGAGCTCCAGCCCCCCAGTGACGATCCCGGGCACGAACACCACGGGGTGCTTTGCCTTGAGCCCCTCCTTCTGGAGCTTCACTCCCGGCGGGTCGGGAAGCGGGCCCGTGATGGCTTCCGTCACGTACTGAGGGAACGACGCCGGCATCGCGTTGTAGGAGAACAGCAGCAGCCACCACGCGGAGCAGATCACCCCGACGAACCAGCAGCAGCTGTCGAGGCACGACCACCGCCCCTTCCGCTCCTTTCTGACCTTCTCCGACGCCTTGGCCTTCTCTGTCTCATTGACCTCCGCCTTGGGAGAGCTGGCGACGGGGGAGGCGGAGGAGTGGTCTTCAGACGGCGGCGGGGGCGGCGGAGCCGGAGGGCCCTTCCTTCGCCGGAGCATCGCCATCTGATCGATCCAAAGGCAGAAGGATCGGACGAACTCTAACCCTAGGTTTCCGTAGAGATCCGGCGGGGGAGAAGGATTGTGGCGGCAGCGAGGGAGGAGGCCGCCGCGGGAGGAGGAACAGCCCGCAAAAAGTGGTGAATATAAAGCCTTCTTTTTCTAATAAATAGCAACCCGTTGTGGTCTCAGGGAACGAAGTCTGATAAACGGTGAGGATTCAGTGAACAGCGACGACCATAACCCTCCATTCCCACCAATCAAAACATTCATTATGTTGTGGGTCCCAAAGAGAACCGGATCCACCGTGGTACGATTAATGGAATTCCCGGAGTTGGCTTTGCCGTGAACCACTACCCACCTGACAGGTGTCCTGCACTTGCGACACGTGGCTGTGGGTGCGCCTCTCGTGTCCGGGCCGAGGGAGCAAACACGAGACTAGTGTCAGTTCCCAAGGCATGGAACGTGGGCCCATGGACGCATAACCAATGGCAGCTGACATATTCATGTTTCGTGGCTCGTTTTAGGTACATTGATCGCCACCGTATCGCACAGCGGTAGGTCAACGACAGCTTGCGCAGACGGTCGTGTCAGGAATGATGCAAGCACCAGTTCGGACGAGTCTTCGGATCAGCTGTTTTATCTGGAGCAGCAAAAGAAGGGAGATGTTTGGGTCCCATCATTTTTATATTATTATTATTATGTTATACCTACAAGGAAAAGCACAACGGTGTCGTCACACGACGAATGCCACCGTTTCTGCGAACCGGCAAGCTTAGTGGACCCCATACTTACATCCAATCATGAGGTAGGTAAACGCGTGAGAGCAGTGGCGAGGAGAAGCAACTATCATCAAGTTCAACCCGTTGTTATTCTCACACCATATAAATAAATAAAAGTAAATGTCAAATGGAGCATAAAAATGTGGATCGCTTATGGAATATTAAGAGGTAAAAATCTAAAATCAATTTGAAATATTCTCTGCATCTTTCATCAAGTTAAGTTTGCGGATGATTCTATCCCTTGCGATTGCACTTGCTAAATCACAAAGTTTTCATACTTTTCATTGTTATTATCCTATGTTGAACCTTCAAAATCTATGTAAAGATCGAAAACTTGTATGAAACTTGAATCACGTTCAAATAATTTTCCTTGTTAAATAAAATATATTGGGCTAAACGATATTAGGTTTCTTGTTCCTAATCACCATAGGTTGGTCATGATCAATCATCAACTGATACTCTTGCACGATACGAGTTATCGAATTCTCATCTTTATGAGTTATTGCATGAACTTTTTTTAATTATCAATCAATCTTTTCTTGAACTCGTACTATGTTTTCCTTCAAGTGATTATCACAATATGGCGTCGTAATTTAGACTAAATAAATCTACTCATCAATACTAAGTGGAGTATTAATTTACAATAATGATTTTACGGACTTGTTGAGCATTGTTCTAATACGATGAGTCATCAAAACCATTAATCCTTATAATTATAAAATTATAATCATAAATGTAGAATGGACATCCAACCGATGATATTATATTCGAATATCCTTGTTTTATAATTTCTATATCAACAAATAAGCATTCGATAACATAATACTTTAGAATACAAATCATACCGCAGACAACATGACCCGCTTACCCTAATAACTACATGACACTAATTACTAACTCATGACATGAATCACTCACTCCATGACACGATCAAATGTAATAAACCTTGAATTCCTTCTCGTTACTTTCTCTTGAATTATAAACAATAAAGCCAAATACAAATCTTGAACAGATGTTCTTTTGAAAGGAAAGTGATTTAGTAAAACTGTCTTTTTTTATTTCCACCGGTCTTTCCACAAACAATTATAAAAAAATGGTGGTGAATGAAAGATAAACACATGGTAATTTCTTCTTGCTTTTAATCGTCTTTATATAGCTTCCCTAATTAAAATACTCCGAAGGCATATCGACATATCCCGATAATACGAAAATTTTTATAATAGTATATATTGTTAGAGAAAAACATTATTTTTTTTTAAAATTAGCCTTATCTATTCTTGAAATATGTTCTACGATTATAATTCATGTTTCTGAGTTTTTTTATGATCTTTATTCTTAATCTTAAGTATATATTATTTAATTAAATATCTCAGGAAGAATATTTTTATTTACTTATGATACAATGTATAGGCAACAATACTACCATTATACTTTTGTTCTTTAGAATTTTCCATTACATTTTGCTCTTCCTTGTTGATTATATAATATTCTATTATTAGTTTTTCTTAATTCCATCATCACTTGTTAAATATCGAAATATATACATTCATGCAGGACTCCTTTTTTTTTTTTTTCTAAGTACAACATTATTTTAATTAATATTATAAAATATTAAATAGGTTTTAATATATATATATATATATATATATATATATATATATATATATA